AATTGAGATGAGGGCTGAGGTCCATGGTAGGGGTGATTATCTACATTGGGTCCCAGTCTCCGTCTCCTAAGCCCCCCATGACAACAAAGAGCAAGGGATTAGGAAGGTCATTGCTCCCAATAAAGATACAATATCTTTATTACTGGTCAAGGTAAGCCTATAATATGTTGGGGAGAGAAATGGTCCACCCCACAGGGTCCCCTTGAAGGGTAAGGGTTAGACAATTAAACTGGAATACTATGCCCATTGGTCCCCTAAGCCTTTCATGACTGGCACAAAGTTACCCTTTCATCCTTTCAACACAGCAGTCACACTTTAGGAAGTGGAGAGGAGAAGGGGTTGGAGAAGAGAAGGAAAAAGAAATGGGACAAAAAATTGTGGATGTATAAAATTGATAAAACTGCCATAAAATTGATTATGAGTTACAATTTTTTTTGTGTATCAGAGAGAAGGACAGCACTGGAGTTTAAATTAAGAGGAAAACCTTGTCTGTGTTCTTCCTGTCTGGTCTCAAACTTGAAGGTAGGGCAGCCTTTATAAAATACATTATGAGAGCCACTGCAGTTGGTACATACATATAATTGTGCAAAGAAATTTGATCAGTCATGAGCAAATTGGGCACATGAAGGCACAATAAAAAAATGTGGATGTATAAAATTGATAAAACTGCCATAAAACTGATTATGGGTTATAGATTTTTTTTGTATCACGTGTGCCATAAGACTGCATTTTTTTGCAATTATCTTTTTGAAGAGTATATTTTGCATTACTTCTATGCTGTATGCATTCTGCAAGCACTGTTATTTTTACCGCATCTTCAACCATGGTTAACCGTCGTTAGCATTGAGAACACTAATATATTTGAGAGTGCCACCATTATTACTTGGTAAATAAACCTTAGCATTACAGAGATATCACCTCCCCAGACTATAGTGGCCACAGTAAGTACAGATGCCATGGTATTTGCACTATGGTGCTGTTCACCAAAAGAAATAATGCTATGGAGTTTCTATAGAGCCCTAGTGAGGCAGGCATACACTTGCAACAATTCCTCTAAGATCTCCAATGCCTCCTTATTTAATTTACACTGAGTGAGTACCCTCCTAGAAACTGTTACCAGTCACAGAACAAAACAAAGACTGACAAAATCCTACGGTAAATTGACAAGAAAAGCTAGCCAAGTGGCAATAAGTTTGATTGATTTTTCTTACCCACAAGTCAGATCTACCACTCAGGACCAATGTTTCTGATGTAGCAACAACAAATGTCATTACTTTCTGATTACCCCTTGTAGTAAGAACAGGCTCCCTCTCTATGAGTTTGTGAGATCTGAGAGACTGGGGAGTTTTGGATCCTGGTATCATCACTCCCAACCTACATTACTGATTCTGGTACAGCAATACAGATAATGCAGCCAAGGTTAGCCACATCCTTCTTAGCACATGTGGGAGGATTCTCCAGAAATAGTTGTAAAACTGAATATTTACATAAAAATGGTCAAAAAAAGTTTTCATTTAACATATATTTTGACTAAAATAGCTGCCATCTGACAAAAATGAGAATTTGGATGGTTACTATCATTATTACTTTTTTTTAAATGCATAAAAAATGAACCATTCCAATTTTTTCCCTTTAATTTCACATAACTGAAGAGGAATGGGGTATGAGTAATGGCAATCTATTTATAATACTGCTAGCAAACCACCAACTATACTGATATTACAGGTGTGGTACAGGTATAGGATTAATCCTTTGACTGCTATAAGCAGATATATCTGGCCAAAATGCAAGAAGAGTTGAAAAGAAGGACAGTTCCTTACAGAGCAAAATATGACAATTGTTGTTCTCTGTATTCACCTCCCTAAAAAAGTAGAAGAAAACATCTATATGACAAATATCCACATCATAATCACTGAATATGAAATAATTTTGTAATAAAGTTGGCAAAAAACATTTACCCTATTCTGTGCCTATGAAGCTCTGAAATAACATCCTTTGGAGGTAAAGTAAGAGAAAATTCTGAACATTGTTATATAAGGCATTGATTGGGCACAAGATAAGACGCAAGATAATTTCACGTTAACTTTAATCAAACTTTTGCCAGATACAAATTCAACTTAGGAAAGAAACAATAGCAGTATGAACCCATTAACAGCTGTATTAAAAATTGGCCATGGGTAGCAATGCAGGGTTGTTGGCATGCACTGGCAGTTTCCCCCTTTTGTGTCCAGCTAATTCAATACTTCAAGCACAATATTAGGTGCCTAATAACTTGTAGCTTTATTTCAGAAACAAAACTTTAACAATTTGAAGGTTTCCCTTCAAATGCCTGTATTTAAAAGTGACACCATAAAATTATACTGCTACTGCTGGAGAAAGATAAGCTCCCTCTGATGACCCAATGGCATGGGGGGTGTCATTATGATATCATGCCATCCACAGTCATAGGGTTGAAGAATTACTCAATATACAGATGATGTGTTACAAAGGAAGAAATGCT